CGCCTGCGCGTCCCGGCCGCCGCCGGGCACGGTCCTTTCAGCCTGGAGCGCCCGGGCCGAGCCCTTCCGTGTCGTGGGGGCGCCAGGGGAGTGCTGGAGGCAGGAGGTCCCGAGTCGGGGCTGAGGGAAGGCGGTGGGGGGAACGGGTCCGAGGTATCACTTATTCTCTTTTATTAATTTTGAGTAGAACAAAGAAAGGCGTGAGGCAAGACCAGCATCAAGACGTGCAATGGTTTCATCCAAGGCTCCCCGGCGACCCGTCTCAGCCCAGAGGGGCTTGGAGCGGCCTGCCCCGCCGGGGGATGCCGAGCATGAAAGGCAAAACCTGGGACCCAAAGAGGAACGTGGCCGCACGGGGACCGTCGTCGTCGGGCATCCCCTGCCGAGTCCCGCAATAAATAGTCCTCTCGTGATGGAAGCCGAGGCGCGGTGGGTGGAGGGGAGTGAGGGTGCGGCGAAGAGACAGGATGGATGCCTCGAGGAAGGTGCGGCGCCGGAGCCGGGAGTTTCCTCGCGCGGGGCGGCTTTGTGCACTCCGCCGGCAGGCGGTTCTCGCAGGCCGCCGCTAGGTGGCGGTGCCGTCCTGGAAGCGTTCCAGGGCCCGGAGCAGGGAGACAATGCCTGGCATTCTCTCCTCGCCCTCCACAGCCCCAAGAACCTGGGGCTAGATCAGAGACAAAAGCAAGATACTCTCCCTCCTTTATATTCCTGAAATCACAGTCTAGGGGTTGGAGTGGAAAGGGAAAAGGGAGGAACAGAGAGTCATGAGTTGTCAAACTGAGGGTTCCAGTTAAACCCAGAAGAAACCTCTGTTCCTTCGCGTTCCCTGTCCTTTGTCTAGTCAGCTTCTGGCTTCTCCCGTCTGTACCCGACCCGCGCTGGTCCTCCAAGCCCAGGACCACCTCCTATAACAATCACAGCTTCACGAACCCCAGGAAGGTTCCGTGTGGAGAGAGGCTAAGCTTCGCCCTTGCGCGGGGGACCGTGACACTCAGAACGTCCCCTTGGTGTAAGTGGAAGACACCTGAGAACAGAGGAAGCAGATGCGCCGTGAGGACAGCTGTGCAGATGCTCTGACGATTTGCCCTCCCCCAGCTCAACCTTTTTCTACTTCCTGTAAGGATGTAGGTATTCTCTCCTTCATTCCTTAGGTCCACCTCTACATGCACAAGCCCTGTCATCGCTCTCCCACCACTGCCCCCAGGCAGATGTGCCCTGCTCTTCTCAGATCCCTGTGCCCACTGCCCACAGAGCTGTTACCTGCGCTGTAGCAGCTATTGTAGGCCCAGTCTGGGTTGGAGGGCATGCTCCGTATACAGCGGAAGAGGGTCTCCTGCTTTCCCTGGCCCTCCCGGGACACCACTTGACCCATGGTGAAAGTCACATCGTGAAACAGGACCTGGCAGGGAAGGGGGGACACGCTGAGGAAAGCGGGGTGGTGCGGCTCAGTTCTGAGAGGCCTCAGGGCCCCGCCAAGGAACGAAGGAGGGTCTCCTAAGTTTGGGGTGAAGAGGGTTGAGAGCCCTCGGTATTGGAGCATCAGGCTCCGGAAGAACAGGCTTCCAGGCCCCCATGTGGGGCTCAACGTTCGTTTGGGGTTACCTGGCTATAGAGCAGGTACACTCCAGCATCCCAGACTCGAACAACGTATCCTTGGGCCTCCAGACCTCGCCCACGCATAAGAGCCGGTTGCCACATCAACTCTGTCACATCAGAGTCCGCTGGAGGTGAGGGGTGCGGCAGTCAGGGCTTCTGTGCGTCCTTACTGTTCGCCTCTACGATCCTCTCAGGCCGGGTACCAGCCCCAGAGCTCCCCGATCTCGCCTCTCCCCAAAAGCCATTTAAAATAGTGCTCACCCTTGGAGGTCATGTTCAGGGGAACAAGATGCAGAACCGAGTGCTTCCCTGAGGAAAGAAGGAGGGGATCTCAACAATGCCCACCTACTCCACTTGCCCTGCGGTCGGCCCTCCACCCTCACCCCGACTTGGGGCGACCATCTCCGAGTCTTCATGCCGCTCAATCACCTCCCACCCCGCGGCACCCCGAAGGCCTCACTCTTCTGCTTATGGGCGAGCACTGCTCTCTTTCTCCGGGACCTCTCCCCATTCTCCAGGGCTCCCAGGCTGTCAGGGCTCTGCTCATGGAAAGAGGGTCAGGGTTAGGCCCAGCTGCAAGGGCCCCAGACGGCCTTTCCCCCCAGCCCTCCCCTGCCCAGCAGTGCCCACGTCTCTCAGGCACCTTTCCCCAGCAGCCTGAGGCTTGGTGCTGGCTGTCCTCCAGGAGCTGGTAGGTACAAGAAGCATTAATCTTTAACAATTTCCTTGACTGGAATGGCTGCTCTCTTGACCTCCAAACCCGGGACCCTCTCATGTCCCCACTGGAGACATTGCAGACCCGGAGGCTGGAACCCAGAGTGCCAGGGACGACGCTGCCACCAAGCCCTCCCACCCGCCACCCTACCCCCCTCACTCACCTGCTCCTGGGGGCTCAGCCATGGGTACCCTTCCCCCTTTCCAGAGGGCCCCCCAGTCCTCTGCAGCTGGGTCACCTCTCTTCGTAGGATTTGCAGCTCTGTTTGTTGGATCAGCAGAGCTATGGCACAAGCCACAGCCCCCAAAGCCGCCCCCCAACTCAACCAGAGGGCAACTGAGAGCGCTGGCTCTCGGACCCGGCCCCCCATGTCTCCCGGGGGCCCTCTGGGGGCTGGAAAGGAAGGAGATGAGGCTGGCATGAGCTGGGGACCCTGCCAACAGCGGTGGCTTCAGGAGTGGGTGGCAAGGAGGTGCAGGCAGTGGTGCCGAAGGGAGAAGGGCGTTACGCAAGGGAGAAATAAAAAGGAACTTGAGAATAAAAAGGAGGGAGGAGGAAAGCAAGCTAGGGCACCGGGTGCTCCTGGCACGCTGCTGCGGGGCCAGTGTTGCTGAGCCCCCCACCCTGCAGCCTCCGGAGAACGTGGTGCCCGTCCCTCGAGGAAGCACAGGGCTGCGGTGGCACCCAGGAGGAGCGGCCAAAGCGCAGGAACCTGGGGCGGCCCCAGCAGTGGGGGAGGGAAGGTTGGCTGGCGGTGGGGCATGGTGCCAGGAGCAGGGATGAAGGGACAAGCTGGGCAGTGTGGAGGGTCAAGGGATGAGGGCGGAAGACCCCCTGGCCCAGGCCGAGGAGTGAGCTCCGGGCGAGTTTGCTAGGACTGACTGGAGGTAAGAAGGGAGGAAAGAGGCCCGCGAGGAGAGCCAGGGTCCCTGAAGCAAGAAACCGGCCGGGCTCTGGGGTTAAGGCCAGGCCGGGCGCGCTGGAATAAGGCCGGCACCACTCTCTGTGCTGAACTTGGCAAACACGACTTCCTGTTTCCCGAGAAAAGCTGTTACATAAGGCTCTGGGTGAAGCGAGAAGAGACGGCCCCAAGCACCCCATCACGGTAGGGGTCCTTCCCGGGATCCCGGGGTCGAGGTTCCCGTGTTCCTGGGCCCCAGCGTCCTGCGGGCCGACCCTGAAGCCTCCTTGAGGCCTGCTCCCACCCCACATCGAGCCGGGCCCTGTGCCAGCACCTGCCCAGGTCCCGAGGCTGCCAAGAGGAAGGGCCCCTGTTCCGCCCGCCAGGGAATCCCCGCGGGAGGAAGCCCGCCTCCTAGGTAAATGAGGCCACTGCTGCTGGACCTTGGGCAGAGGCTTGACTCTGTTTCCTGGCACTTTGCCCTTCCACGCTCTGCCCACACCTCGGGGGCCGCAGGCCTGTGGGTCCCCACTCGCACGTCTGCGGGCGGACCTGGAGGCCCAGGTGTCCGGCACCCCCCTCCCCAGTGCCCAGACCCCCTTCTCGGGGCTTGCAGTTCCCCTGAGGAGGCCCCCTAAACACCCAATAAAGAGAGCAACCGTGACTTATTCTCTTTAATTTCTACTTATCAACATTTTGTCACCATAATAATAAAAATAATATCTGTTTTAAAAATCCACAGGGAACGATCAGGGGAGGAACTTGTCTTGGTCCCTTGGCCCTCCCATCGGGGAACTCTTGGCCTCGTCCCAGTCTCTCCGGTATCCAGCCTCTCCTAGTGCCTGAGAGGGGTACTGGGGACCCATCCTCACCCAGAGTATAGTAAACAGTGTACCGGGGGGGTGGCAGCCAGGGTGGGGAGTCGGGAGATAAATGGGGGTGTCGAAGATCAGGGGTTTGGGAGCTAGCGAGGTGGAGAACCAGAGGTGGGGGGAGGGCTCTTCAGAGACGAACGGGAATATTTATGTTGCATGGAAAACACGTGAACAAGCCCTGGCAACGTACCCAGGGAGAGGCAAGTCTGAGGGGAGGAGCAGCTTGGGGTGGGGCCACGGGGACTGGGGTGCTCAGAGAGTTGTTGTGGGGAGCCAGCAGCCTGGGAAAACCACTGCGAGACCAGGGCCCCTCAGTGGACTTGGAAGAGTCCAAAGTAGGTCAGGAAAGGGGCAGCCTTGAGGTGGGCCCAGGGGAGGGTTCGGATCCGTAGGGAGGACCCAGGCCGCAGGGGCAGCAGCCCAGACACCTGGCAGAGACGGAGCTGAGACCCGTGGGAACTCGCGGTGGCAGAGAACTCTTCCAGGCATCGCAGGGCCAGCGTGTCATCCACCAGCAGGTCCAGCTTCAGGTAGACGGCCTTTCCCTCGTCAAAGTGCACCTGGGGGCAGGGATGGGCGCCGGAGTCCAGGCCTCGCTTGCCCTTGTCTTCATTTCACATTTCCTTGGAGACCCAAATGTCCCCCCCCACCTCCGCCCCGCTCCGGCCCAAACCCCCAACTGCCCCACCCCACCTTTAGCTTGCCTCCCCCTTCCAACCCAACCCTTCGTCCTCAGTTCCTGCCTCACCCACGGAGCCAGGTGGGGCTTACCTGGCAGTACAGGTAGTAGAGCCCAGCCCGGGTGACCGTGAATGCCCCGCTCCGGCCGTCATAGCGCAGCGGGTTGGAGCCATTGATCTTGGCTTCCTCCCAGCCACTCACCGTCCCGTCCACACCTGAACGTAGATGTTCAAAGAGAGGGGCAAGTCCCCACACAGGACTCGCGTGGTCCCTAGGCACCCTCGGAGTGGTGAACCTTGAGGGCCCACCTGACCCAGAAGATCCACAGATGGCCCAGGACAAGGGAGGGCCCAGGGCCTCGGGGGCCCATCGTGTCATGGGGAGTTACGTGAGGAAACCCGACCTAGGTAACCAGAGCCATGCACGGCAGGTTGTCACCAGCCACTTCTGGGGAGAAGAGCAGGGCTGAGGGAGAAGCTGGGGGCCTTTATGTTTTGAGTCTGTAGTGTTCACCTCTTTTACTTTGAGGATGTATACACATGCATTCCTTGAATCACACATTACTTGGATTATTAAAATTTTTTAAAAAATGGTACCCAGCCCTAACCGGTTTGGCTCAGTAGATAGAACGTCGGCCTGCGGACTGAAAGGTCCCAGGTTCGATTCCGGTCAAGGGCATGTACCTTGGTTGCAGGCACATACCCAGTGGGGAGTGTGCAGGAGGCAGCTGATCGATGTTTCTAACTTTCTATCCCTCTCCCTTCCTCTCTGTAAAAAAATCAATAAAATATATTTTTTAAAAAATGGTACCCAAATATTCATCAACAGATGCATCGATAAGGAAAACTGTATATATCCATACAATGGGATGTTATTCAGCCTTAAAAAGAAATGCTACGAACTATGAAAACATTATGCTAAATGCTTTCAGTCATAAAGGACAACATAGTATATGATTTCTATGAAATGTCCAAATATACAAATATGGAGAGACAGACAGTAGATTAGTGTTTGCTTAGCACTGGCAGCCTGTGGGATCGGAGAAATTAGGGGATCATGGCTACAAGGTACAGGTTTTCTTTTTGAAGAAATGAAAATGTTCTAAACTTACTGTAGTGATGGTTGCACAGCTGTGTAAATATACTCAAAACCATTTCATTGTATACTTTAAATGGGTGAATGGTATGGTATGTGAGAACACCTTTATCTCAATAAAGCCATTACAAAAAAAAAAATCTAGCCCTGACTGGTGTGGATCAGTGGTTAGAGCATCAGTCGGTGCACGGCCCAGGGTTCGATTCCTGGTTGAGGGCACATATCTGGGTTGCAGGTTCACTCCCCGCCCTGGTCAGGCAGGTGCAGGAAGCAACCAGTTGATGTGTCTCAAGAAAAAAAAATAAGATTTTTTATTAAAATGTTTCTTTCTGTGCGTCCCTCCCCATCCCTTCCACTCTCTCTAAAAATCAATGGGAAAAAAATATCCTTGAGTGAGGATTAACAAAAACTTTTTTTTAAATCTAGAGCTAGGAAAATAAAAAATTGCAAAGAAGATAAATAATAAAGAGAGAGAACAGGACAAGTGGCTTCCCAGGCTCTCCACAGCCCCGCCACCCACCTCTCCAGTCTCATCTCACACGCACCTCCCATTAACAAGGACCCACCCACTCTGGACTTTCTGTTACTGCTGAGAACCAAGTTCCTTGTCCCTGCAGGGCTTTGTCCTGTTCTTCCCTCTTCTCAGAACACTGCCCTGCCCAGCACCTCTGTCAGTCAGGTCTCAACCCATCTGAGGCCTTCCCAGGCCACCCAGGTTAAAACAGCCAGACTCGGCCCTGCCTCCGTTAATCTCTTCACCACATCACCCTGTTTCTTTCATAGCAGTTGCCAACATGGGAAATCATCTGGCTTATTTGATTTTAATTTAATTTTAATTTATTTTTTAGAGAGAGGAAGGGAGAGGGATAGAGAGATAGAAACATCGATGAGAGTCATTGATCGGCTGCCTCCTACACGCCTCCTACTGGGGATCTAGCCCACAACCAAAGTACATGCCCTTGTCCGGAATCGAACCCCGGACCCTTCAGTCCGAGGGCCCACGCTCTTTCCACTGAGCCTACGGTTAGGGCTCATCTGGTTTATTTATATATGTGACAGTTTGGAGTCCGACTTCCCTAAAAGAGCAGGGACAACGGTCCTATTCACCACTGTGTCCTTGCAGCAGGACCTTGGCCTGCTCTGAGTGGGCGCCCAGCAAACACCGGTGGGAAGATAGAGGGAAGGAGATAAACACGGGCGGCAGCTCTTTGTTTGGGTCCACAGGCCAGTCTCCTGGACCGCAATGGCTGATCTCTGCAGTCTCAGCAGCTGCCTTCCTCAACCCCTCATCCCCTGCTAGCCCCAGTGCCCCATCCTTATTACCGTCTCAAGGAAAATGTAGTGCTCTCTGGGCATTTTCATCCTCACCTATGGGTTACTGTGGCCTTTATTGTACAGACTCAGATCTGGGTCTTCAGCCCTGCCCCTTCTCATCCTGCCCCAGGCACCCCAAACTCATCCGAACCAAACTGAGCTTGGCTTGACACCCCAAACTTTTTTTAAAAAAAATTTTTTTATTGCCCTTGCCGGTTTGGCTCAATGGATAGAGCGTCGGCCTGAAGACTGAAGGGTCCGGGGTTCAATTCTGGTTAAGGGCACATGCCTGGGTTCTAAAAAAATGTTTTTATTGATTTCAGAGAGGAAGGGAGAGGGAGAGAGAGAGAGAAACATCAATGATGAGAGAGAATCATTGGTAGGCTGCCTCCTGCACACCCGCTACTGGGGATCGAGCCCACAGCCCAGGCATGTGCCCTGATCGGAATCGAACCGAACCTGAGTTCCTGGTTCATGAGTTGACACTCAACCAACTGAGCCACACTGGCTGGGCAGCCCAACTCCAAACTTGCTTTACTGTCTTTATTCCACGTTTGGCTCATGGTTCTACCTCCCACCAGGTACATGTCTCCCTCTCCTTCACCAACTTTATTCCCCCATCATCACCAGTTGCTAGCAACTCTGCCACTTAAATAGCTCTGTCCCATCTCCCTTCCGGTCTGGCCCCGGCCACATCTCACAGACAGTCTTCTCAGCCTCTTCTTTCCGAGTGACTCCGTTTCCAGCCTTCCTTGCTCACATGCACACAAGCACACAAGCACACTCTAGCTGGGTCCACATCCCAGCTCCACCACTTCGTATCGTCATGACCTCAGACAATTTAAGTGACCTCCATCTATAAGATGATCAGACTGTCTGTAACTAAGATTCATGTAGTATTCCTTATCACTGAAAGGATGGAACTTTTCCTTCAGCCACATCCCCCTCTGCCTACTGGCCCATTTCTCTGCTCCTGTTACAGAGAAACTTCTGGAAAGGGTTGTCACTGTCTCCAATTCCTACGTCCGATTTTTTTCTTAACCCAATACATGCTGCTTCCATCCTAACTATGCCACAGAACTGCCCTGGTCAAGGTTACCAGTTGACTTTTTATATCAGCAAACCCGCAGTCATTTCTCTGTTCTCATCTCATGTGACCGACCTCTCAGCTGCCTTCAACACAGACAGCCACATCCTTCTTGAAATGGTGTCTTTTTTTTTAAGTTTGAAGAGCATTTTTTTTCATTATTATTATTTTTTAATCCTCACCCAAGGATATGTTTTCCATTGATTTTTAAAGAGAGTGTGGAAGAGAGAGGGAAAGACAGAAACATTAATGTGAGAGAAACACATCAACTGGTTGCCTCCTGGATGCACCCCGACCAGGGCCGGGGTCAGGGAGGAGCCTGCAACCGAGGTATGTGCCCTTGACCAGAATCGAACCCAGGACTCTTTGGTCCACAGGCCAACGCTCTATCCACTGACCCAAACTGGCTAGGGCGAAACTGTGTCTTATCTCAGGTTCCATGATACTACCCTCCCGGGGTTCCTTCCTCTCTCTCTGGCTGCTTCTCAGACTGCTGGTTCTCCTCCTTTGCTCCACTTCTAGGTGTCCAAGGGCCTCACTCACGGGGCTCTTTTCCCCCCTGGTGTCTCATCCAGTCCTGTAGCTTTAAATACCACCCACATGGCAATGACTCCTGACTTTATTAGCCCTGGCCTAGCCCGAATTTGTCTACTACGTCCAGCCATCTATTTGTGGAACTCACTTTTTATTATTATCTATCCGCTTGTTTAGTATTAGATTTCAAATTTAATTGTTAATATGCATGCCTCCCAACCTATTTCTTCCCTGGTTAACCCCATGTTAGCAAATGGCATCATTCTTCCCAAAGATGCCCAACTTAAAAATCTAGAAGTCATTTCCGATTCCTCCCTTTCCCCTATCCTACACAGCCAACCAACAAGCAAGCCATATCTTCAAGCCACATGCTTACTGCTCTCCACCTCAGCTGCCAACCTCTAGACCAACTCACCCTTATGTCTTGCCTCCTGGCCTGTCACATGGAAGGGCATTCCAAGCCAGGGAACAATATGTGCAAAGTCCAGAAGAGGAACATTGGTGGGGAAGGGGAGCAGCCCAACAAGTGTGGAGAATTCATAAGGATGTGCAGGGAAAAGAGGTCGAGACCATGAAAGCCTGGAAGCCAGGCAGAGAACAATGGAATAATGAAGATGAGGTTGGAGGGGGAGGGGCGCTTAGCTTGGCAACACAGGTGGGACAGAGTAGGGGGTAGGAGAGTTTGGAATGGGGAAAGATTTAGACTGGGTTTGAGATTCCAATGTCAAGGTGCTGAGGTAGGGGATACGGTAGGGCTGGAAAAAAAGAACAGTGCCCGGCCAGTGTAGCTCAGTGGTTGAGTGTTGACTATGATCTAGGTCACAGTTCGATTCCCAATCAGGGCACATGCCTGGATTGCAGGCTCGGTCCCCAGTGTGGAGCTTGCAGGAGGCAGCCAATCAATGATTCTCTCTCATCATTGATGTTTCTATTTCTCTCTTCCTCTCCCTTCCTCTCTGAAAGCAACCAGAAGAGAAAAGAAGAACAGAAACTAGAAGCATTTTGAGAAAAATGATCCGCGCATGAAGATATGGAGGGGAAGGACAGGAAAAAATCAAAGGTGAAGAAGAGTGAGAAGGTGGGCTGGTGGTTTGGTGGGAGAATCTGCCTGAGTCCTGGGAGCGGAAGGAGTCTTCCTGGGGTCCCATGCCTGGATCCCAGAAAAAGTCCAAGTCTGGGAGCTGAGAGAACCGAACCCTGAGGACTTTCCTGAACTGGCTTCTGGGGTTCTGAGGCTGAAGGCAGGGATGGGGGTGGCCAAAGATTTGAGGGGCCCCTTTTCCAGGAGGCCAGCGCTGTGGGGGTCAGGGAAAAGCACAGAGGTGAAGATAGGGTCTTACCTGCTTGTGCTCCATCCTGTCCAGGCTGTGGGTGAACTGTGAAACACAGGAAGGGTTGGTGCGACCTGCCCTGCCCCTCTCACCCCTCCTCCCCGGGCACGGCTCACCCGTCACCCACCTTCATAGTGGGCTGCCACCACTCTGCGAGCCCGTGTTTTCCGGCCTTTAGGTGCTGAGAATCAAGGAAAGACAGATGGGCAAAGCAGCCCCCACATATCTGGGGGCCAGGAGCGACTCCCCCAACCCCAGTCCCCTCTAAGAACCCTGGCATCCTCATTTCTGTCCAGATTTCTGGCCTCAGAACCTCATGCCTTACCTTCCTCCATAAGCAGAGCGACTATATAATTTATCAGCCAAATTGGGTGCTTCTGAGAGCAGAACGGGTGCTATTATTAATCACACCGAGATAACAGGTGTCAGCCGGGACAGTCCCCCGCAAACCTGGATATGTGGTCACACGGTTATATCCCATTCGTAAGTTTTTGCTCGCTGGGGCCTAGGCTTCTGACTTTCCCACTTTGTCTCTACATGGTGACTCGGCCCCCCTCCCCCTTTATTCTCTGTGTCTCCGTTTCTCCATTCATAAAGAGGATGATGGTATTTGCTCTGCCCCCTCATGCGGCTGTTATGATGAACAAAAGCAATAACGAATTGAGACGCCACTAAGGTTGGGATAAAGAGATGCTCACCACTTCGGCGAGGCCGAACCAGCTGATTCAGGAAAGGCACAGGGTCCTGGCCCTCCTCCGACTGGGGACTCAGTTCCTGGGGGAAGTGAGGGCAGGGCTGACTCAGAGCCTGGCCAGGGATTCCCAGAGGCATAAACTGAGATCGACAGAGGCCGTTAGGAGAGGCACAGACGGGCACAGGAGTCTGAGGGAGGGACGGAGCTCTCAGCCAACAGTGGCTGCGGCCAAGGGGAGGCAAGTTTCTGGGGTCAAGTCTCAGCCCTCACGCCTCTCAGAGACCAGCCACACTTCCCCAACCCCACAACCAAGTGCAGACCCTGCAAGCGATGGGCCCATTGCACACATGCCCACACGCAGTCAGAGTGCACGGTGGGTAAGCACCCTCCACAGACAACCAGCATCCCTCCTCCACCGTATCTCACACTCCCACTTCACCTTCAGCCAATAGCACGTTCCCTCCGCTGACACAAACCCAGCACCAACCCCTCACACAGCTGTCACCCTCTCTTGCCCATAGACCTACGAAGGGAAAGGCGCGTCACAGCCAGGGCACTCCCTGCACCCTCAGGTCACACACACTTCCCATGCCCAGCAGCCTGCCACCAGCACCCACAGCCACTCACCAGAGGGTCCTGGTCCTCTTCTGCCACCAGCTCCCCCTGGGCAGGCTCCTGCTGGGAAGGAGGTAGGGTCACCCTGTCCTCCTCCACCTGACAGCTCGCCCTCCACCCATCTCCCTGGCCCCGTGTCCTCAGCCCACGCAGCCTCAGAAACTGCTCTGTAGATTGTGCTCCTCATCCCCCGGGAGGGGTGTGCAGCGGGGCCTCACCTGAGCAGATGACGATGCCCGGCCCCCCAGGCTGACCACGGCCAGCAGGAGGCCAAGGCAGGCCAGCGCCAGGCCCAGGCCCAGCATAAGCGGGGCCAGCAGGGCGGTGCCGGGCTCCCCCGTGCGCCCCCTCTGCCTCAGGCTCCGACGGGCAGCCATGGGGGCGGGGGCTGTTCCTGCCTCACCGCCCCCCCATCCCGGGACCCGAGGGATCGGGGGAGGGGGAGCCGGCGGGAGGATCGGGCTGGGGAGAGGGAGGGGCAAGGGAAACCAGGCGGGAGGGCGGGGATGAGGACAGGAAGCCGGACACTGTTTGTGTGGTTGCCTCGGGCTGCTCGCGGAGCGGACTGCGCTCTGCTCAGCACAGAGCGATTCCCTGCGAACAGGCGCACCCCGCCTGGGCGCCTAGAAGCAGGGCGAGGTTTGTGAGTGTGCAGCCGTCCGAAATGGGTGTGCAGCCCATGGCTCTCCAGGCAGAGGGCAGAGGGAGTGAATGACGGCAGAAATGAGCAGAAACGCCACCCGGGTCCGGGTGAGGGTGGTCATGCCACCAGACACCTGCCCTGCCTGTTCCCGGACAGGGGGCCCTGGCCGGAGCGGGGCTGCCTAGGGCCGGCCAGGACTGTGCGGGCTCTTGCCTTCCTGCAGGAAAGGTTTAACAACACACGGTCAGGTGATGATGAGGGTAGCAAGGACGGGCGTAGCATAGATGAGGCAACCGGAGAGCCTTAGGCTGAACTGCTTCGGTTCTCTGAGAAGGTTCTAGGAGAGAAGTGAGCTGGGCGGGGCTGCTTTAGCTCACTGGGAAGTCAGAGAAAAGGGGGGCTTGGAGACAGGGTCAGGGGGTGAGCCCAAGACCAGCTGCTGCTGCTGCCCTGGGCTTCCTGGTTGCAAGTCTCCTGGGGACCGTTAGAGTTTAGGACGCACAGGCCTGTGGGGGGAGAAAGGGGGAGGAGGGAAAGGCACGGGGGTTGGGTCTGTTGTCTTGAGGGATTTTTCTCTCTCAGAGGCCTGAATCTTAGGGGAGGTCTCAGCAGATTGTCCATCAGTTTTCCAGGTGTGCCCTTTCAAGGTCATGGTCTCTACTGACCAGTCAGCAGCAGGGCTGAGGTCCTGGCATTGCTCACCTGGTGTTGCTGCTTTTCTGGAGCTGAAATACAGCGGAGGCCTAGCTGCTATCTCCAGGGCAGTGACCTGTATGTGGCTGTACATTGCTCGGCCTATCTGTTCAGCTGTCTCTCTCTCAGTTTCCCCACTCAACTTGCCAAAGAATTTTCTAGCTTCTTACTATCCTGTCTCATTCCACCCTCAGAGACTCCCATCCCTGAAATCTTTTAGGGGTGATGGGAAAGGAGGCTTTGTCTTTAGTGACTGCTTCCTGCTGACAAAGGCCGTAGTCACTGCCTATGTAGGCTACAGGTGTCTCTCCTGGAACTGAGAGGCTGTCAGCTGATTCTTCCAAAGTAGGGATGGGCCAGAGTCCCGGAAGCATCATCATCTTGATAATGGAATTGTTGTATCCCAGAGGTGACAAATTTGGCTAGAAGGTTTTGACAAGAAGGTTAAAAAGGCATGGCCTAAAAATGAGGAGGAAAATTATAGTAACTACAGGTCTGAGGAGAGGTAAGAACCAGGTGATAGAAGGAGGAACCAACTTTACAGAGTCCCCAGGGGCTTCCCTGGATGACGGTATCTGAAGCCCCTTTGTTTATTATACTTAATTCAAGTTAGAGTAAGGGAGTATATTCTAAGATCTCACTTCTGAAGCAGCTTACCCAGTGCACTGACAGGACACCTCTACCCCTGAGAGCTCCCTGTTTGAACTTGGCTCTGAACCTTTGCAAGTTTCCTTCTAAGGCAGGCTGAAATTTCTAGAACATCTATTTGAATAAAAATATATGTATATAATGGAACAGTTTAATTAAAATGTATGTATTCAAGTAGGACATAGCTATTATTTTATTTGGCAAATCTTCCCACGTAGACTTTCCAAGTGCTTCCAATTTCAAGCATATCCAAATAGGCCTAATTAGTTCAAAAACTTCTTTTATAAGGACAGAGAACAAATCCTTGAGGCGTTCCAGGGGTCTATTGGAATAACTCAAAGTCACTTGGTTAGGGGCAGAAATAGAATGTTGGGGACCAGCTATAACTGTAAGAAACATGAATCATGCTCTGTTACCCGTGATTGTTTTGTTCTGCACATTCTAACCTGGCTGGGAGTGGCGCTTGGGACCTGGGAGCTCAACAGGGACCTGGGAGCTCTGCATCCTCTACACCCGGGAGCTGCCTATTGTCACCGAAAGATTAACAGCCTTGTTGCAGAAACCTGAGGGGCCAGCCTTTTACCTACTCCCAGGCCTTTGCAAACCCCCAGCCCACATTGCCTGTAAACTGTCCATTTTGCATACCCATTCTTATCCTTTTTTGCCTACTTCCCCAAGTAATCTTCGTGACAGGTGAAGTATGGTAGCAATCATCTCAGGTAGAAACTGTAGTTTAACTCTAACCCTGCTGTTTGGCTTAACAATAGAAAAATTATTTTGATTTTCTGAATTACATAAATCATCCCATTCGATTGAATGCCTTATTGATTGTAATGTGAATATCCCATTGATTGTGATCTTACTGGTTTCAGAAAGCACATTCCTCTGTACCTGGGAACCAGGCCAGCACAATTATCCCAAGACCCGAGGGTTCCAGTTAATGTGTCCCTGTCAACTCAGTGGCCCAAAGACCCGAGGGCTCTAGATAATGTGTCCCTGTCAACTCAGTGGTCCAAAGACCCGAGGGCTCTAGATAATGTGTCCCTGTCAACTCAGTGGTCCGAAGACCCAAAACTATAATTAATCTTTGTAGATAACTAATTGGCTCAATCTCGCTTCTGTAACTGCTTTGTGCAAACCAGGGTCCTCATTCCAAACCCTGGGATGTAATCAGTACCTTTGTGATCTTTGTCTATAAATCGGATGTTGGGGCTGGGGAGGGCACTGCGAGGTTTGGGAGAGCGAAAGGCCCCCTCGTAGTCCCGGATTGCAATAAATGTGACTCTTTAATTCGACTTCTTGAGGCGTCTTTCTGTGATTCGCGGGGTACATTACAACACAGGCAGCCCAGACCCATTGACTGTCCAGTTACATTATTACTCCCTCAGTCACATGGTGAGGACCAATTAACTGGTTTCAATTTCTCGGTTAAAAAAAAAGCCTCTTAAAATTTAAACTTTGGGAAGGTTGTCAAACAAACTTAACCAAAATATCGTAACATAAACTTCTTGTAAATCCAGGTAAAACACATATTTTATGGTAATAACTCTAAAATATATCAATCAAACATAAACCAGTTTTTTAGTATATTTTTATTGATTTCAGAGAGGGAGGGAGAGAGAGATAGAAACATCAATGATGAGTGAGAATCATTGATCGGCTGCCTCCCACACACCCCGCACTGGGGACCGAGCCCTCAACCTGGGCATGTGCCCTTGACCAGAATCAAACCCGGGACCCTTCAGTCCGCAGGCCGATGCTCTATCCACTGAGCCAAACTGGTCAGGGCCAAATGACCGATTTTTCTAGAGAAGGCACAAGTTTTTTTTCATTTGCTTTCAATAACGTTGATGAAGGCTGGAAAAGAGGAGGGGACTATCTGGCAGGGGCAACTTCAGCCGCTGAAGGTTTTAAAGTGGCATTTTTTTCTGTAGTTCCGGCAGCCTTGTTTACATTCCTGATTACCCAGCTGGAAGGCCCGTTGAGCCCAAGGATAGACTTCAAATGCCCTAAATGAGTGGTAGAACCGAAGGACATCTCGGCTCCAATGGAGGGATCACAGGGCTGCTTGCCTCCCTAGAAGTGTTATAGGAAAAGTGACTGCTTCACTGCCCCCTCCAATCCTGGACCTCGGGGATTGGGGGTGGGGGTGCCGGGCTGCAGAAGGAGGGGCAAGAGAAACCGCCCTGGGCCGGGAGGAGGACAGGAAGCTGGACTCTGGGTGATTCAACTCAGAGCCCATAGAGCGAGTCCCCGGGAAGAGGCACCCCCCCCCCCTCAGCGTGTAAAAGCAGGGGTGATGTTTGTGTGACTGTGTAGCCAATGGCTCTCCAGGAGGATGGCCAGAGGGAGTGAAGGTAGAAACTCCACCCAGGTCCCTGTCCGGATGGTCATGCCGCGAGACCCCTGCAACTCCTGCCCAAGCGGATGGTTCATTTAGGGCTCCCAGACCGCGGTGACGAGGCAGTGTGTGGCTGGTCTTATTGACAGGGGCAGAAATAGAATATTGGGGACCAGCTATAATGGTAGGAAATATTAGTCATGCTCTGTTAGCCGTGATTGTATTGTTCTGATTAAAGAAGGCACCTTCTAACCTGGCTGGGAGCTCACCTGGACATGCGGCCCATCCTCCCCCTTCCCTCGCCATCCAGGAGCTGCCTATTTTCATGGAAAGATGAACAACTTTGTTGCAGAAACCAGAGCTGCCAGCCCTTTGAAGACCCCCAGCCTTTGCATATGCCCAGGCCTGTGCAAATCTCCAGCCCGCATTACCTGTACAACTGCCCATCTGGCACTTTCTTTTGCCCACTTCCCCAGGTAATCTTCGTCCTTCTACCCAATATAAGCAGCTGGCTTGTGGTGGGGGGTGGGGGGAAGAGCAGATTTTCGTGGCTGACCTGCTGCTCTCCCACGCTGCCGGCAGGATTGGGATAAAAGCTCATACAGGCTCAGCCCTGTCTCTGCTGAACTGGCTGAAGTAGTGACAGCAGCCCGGACCCATTGATTGTCCAGTTACATTTTTTAAAAAAATATATTTTATTGATTTTTTACAGAGAGGAAGGGAGAGAGATAGTTAGAAACATCGATGAGAGAGAAACATCGATCAGCTGCCTCCTGCACATCTCCTACTGGGGATGTGCCCGCAACCCAAGTACATGCCCTTGACCGGAATCGAACCTGGGACCTTTCAGTCCACAAGCTGACGCTCTATCCACTGAGCCAAACCGGTTTCGGCTGAACCATAATTTAAAGTGGGTTGGGGTCAGGCAGATTT